ACTAGACAGATGCCCTGCTCCATTTCACTGGTGGCATGAGCTGCAGAAATAGCCCAGGGCGGCAGTATCACCCAGCCAGTCCCTAGGGTGCACCGGCCGCACCCACTTGTGGGACCTGGAGCCCAGGAGGAGGGCAATGGGAGCAAGGGCTCCGGGCCCAGTCCCTGACCCTTGGCGGGTGGGCAGTGACGCATCAACGCAGGAACCGGTACCCCTTCACCTCTTCTCCCTTCCCATGGGAGGCAGGCAGCAGTGCATTCTGGGATGCCAAGCACACCCTCTCAGGCAGGGGGAGGGGGACCCCAGCACCCCAAGTGGCCTGAGTCCATACATAATGCACTGGAATTGCTGTGCAGTGACCCGTGTCCCACCACAAGGGCAGCTGAGGCCCTGGGGCTGTGCCAGGCATCATGTCAATGGTGCAGAGGCCAAGTGTGGAGTGGCAGCACGGCGCCACATCCCAGAGAGGGCATGGCCCCCTAGCAGGGAAGAACAGGGTTTGTGCCTTGCCCACCCCACTGCCTCCATGGTGGCAAGATGTCAGCAAGGGGAGTGAGGTAGCCAATGCCCTCGGCACCAAGCCCACAGCGTCCCACAGGAGCTTCCTCTCCCTTTGACCTGGACAGAGACTGCTTGGGAAGGCCTTTAGGGCCCAGATCGCCCCCTGCAAGGGCGCTAGGGATGCCATGGCCTTGCTGGGCCGCTCTCCAGCTAGGCACCTCCTGCATCACTGCAGGGCATTCCATCACCACTCTCGTTCCTGCAGCAGCCATGTGAGCCTGGCACATCAGGCGAAGAGTCACTCCTGTGCTCAAGCTAAGCAAGGCCAACCTAATTTCCTTCTCTGACAGCCTTGTTGGCCTAGTAGACGGGGGGGACAGTAGAAGTGACATTTGACCCAGTCTCATAAGCCAGTGGTTTTCAACCTCTTTGCATTTGCACACCACTAAAAGATTTCCAAGGGAAGTGCAGATCTTAGGCACGGCCTGCGGGACTCCATGGACCCCAGGCTGAGAACCCTGTCATGGGCACAGTGGTCTAGATGAAATTACTGTCCAGTGGCTGCACAACTGGGTGAAAGACCAAACACAGAGAGCAGGCTCCCTGGGCAGTGGTCTCTAGTGGGGTCCCACAGGGTCAGTCCATATTTTCAGGGATGACTTGGATAATGGTGTGGAGCGAATGGTTATAAACTCTGCAGAGGCCACCCAGCTGGGAGGGCAGGAAGCACTTGGGAGGCCAGGATCAGAATTCAAAGCAACCTTGGCCAACTGGAGAACTGGTCTGAATTCTGAAGTTTATTAAAGACAACTGCAAAATACTTCCCTTAGGAAGGAAAAATCAAACGCCCAAGTACAAAGTGGGGCCTGGCTGGCTAGGTGGCAGAGCTGCTGGACAGGATCCGGGTTCTAGTGGATCACTAACTGAATATGAGTCAACAATGGGATGCAGTTGTGAAAAGGCCAATCTCATTCTGGGTGCATTATCAGGAGTGACATAGGTAAGACACAAGAAGTAACTGTTCCGCTCTGCTCGGCCCTGGGGAGGGTTCAGCTGGACAGCTGGGTCCAGTTCTGGGCTCTGCACTTTAGGAAAGACAGGGACAAACTGGAGAGAGTCCACAGAGCAACAAAAATGATCAAAAGTTTAGAGAACCTGAGCAGTGAGGACAGGTAAAAAACTGGGTGTGTCTAATCCTGAGAAGGCGCTGAGAACAGACGTCAAATACATTCAGGGCTCTTATAAAGGGGATGGAGATAGACTGTTCTCCATGTCCACTGAAGGCAGGACAAGTAACGGGGCTTACGCTGCAGCAAGGGGGCCCTAGGTTTGAGATTAGGTCAAACCTTCCTACTGTGGAAGGGGAGTTAATCTCTGGCCCTGGACTAGGTTGTGTAGGGAGGTGATGGAAATCCCCACCATGGGAGGGAGAAAGTCCTGGCAGGGTGGTCTAGGGTGACTTGGTCCAGCCTCAGTGCAGGGGCTGGAGTTGATGACTTCTTGAGGTCCCTTCCAGCCCAATATTTCTACGACTGGGGGAATGGGACCAAAAGGAGAAGGAGGAGGGAAGACTCAGGCGCCAGTGGGGGCAGGGTCTGCCCCCGGCTGGGAAATCCCTCTTCTGAGAGCTCTTCAGGACAGGGCACTCCCAAGGCCTGAGGTGGGGCTTGCTCAGCCCCCAGGGAGGGGCTGGATGCTGCATGGTGCTGACCCCTAAGCTTCAGTGGGGTGGAGGGAGCCCAGTGCTCTGGGTTGATGCCTGGCTAGCAGCAGCAGCCAGGCGCCCTGGGGAGGCTGCTGCAGCACCAGCCCCCCCCCACCCCCGCAGGGGAGCACAGGGCCTTGGGTCGCCAAGGCAGCGGGTCTGGAGTCCTCAGGCCATGGAGTCCTCAGGCCATGGAGCCGGCTTCTCAGCAGGGCTGTGTGCTCAGAGGGGGCAGGGCGAGGGCATTTCCTGGAGGGAACCCCCTCGCTGCCTTGACACCTGGCTGGGCAGGGGACAGGTAGGGGGAGGAAGAGAAATGACCGAGGTTGTCACAATCTCAGAAAGCCACTTCCCCAAAGGAGGACGAGCTGCTCCATCTCCCAGGGACAGGGAGCCGGGTGGGGTCACTGGTGGGGGGAAGGGACTTAGGGACTCCTGCTCACTCAATGCCAGAGTTTGCTGGTGATGCAAAATGGCCCAGCCCAGGAGTGAAGGATGTAGTCAAAGCTTTTTTGGGGGGAGGGGGGCTGTGAGCCAGGACTCCTGTGTTCTGGCCCCAGCTCTGCAGAGGGAGTGGGGTCTAGTGGGGTGGAGCTGGGGGTCACAGAGCTGGGAACAGAACCCAGGAGTCCTGAGGGGAGTGGTGTCTGGCGGCTAGAGCAGGGGAGGAGGAGTCAAGACACCTGGGTTCGATCCCTGGCTCTGGGAGGAGAGTGGGGGCTAGAGGGCTACAGCAGGGGGAGATAGAGTGTCAGGACTCCTATCCCCAGCTCTGTCTGCCTCACTGGGTGACCCTGAATCACTGCCCCTCTATGCCTCAGTTTCCCGCATGCAAGAGAGCCACTTCACTGCCATTTGCTGGGTGCAATGGGACCAAGCTAGTTACCCAGCTCTTTGACTAGCAGGGCCCAAGAGCCATCTCCCCAGAGCAGGTTGCCTCCTGAGGGCTGACGGCAGCACGGGGCCCACGTTGGCTTTGCTGTCCACCCCCACCTCCGGCGGCCGTAGTGGCAGGCAGCGGGTGCCCCAGCATGTCTGGGTCTCAATGCGCACTGGGCTGCTGCCAGGGCTGAACTGTCCCACCACACAAGGGCCAGGAGCGGGGGCCGGCAGGAGATCGGGCCCCCAGCAGCCCAGGCCGGGCTCGGAGAGCGCTGCCCAACGTCATACGCAGCAGCAGGAGCAAATGGAGCCACACAGGCGAGGAGAGGAGAGAGGCTCATTGACTCGCGCTCCAGGGTATCTGCATCCCACATCAGGCCAGGTGCATGCTGGGAGCATCCAGCAGAGGCCATAGTGGGAGCAGAGCACCAGCCTCCACAGACAGATGGCTTGGCCCAGGCTGGCAGGGGGAGGGACATGGCTCATCTCAGCCAGGAGGAGGGGGCTCCCATGCCACGAAGCAGCCCTGCCCAGAGATCCTGGTGCCACCCAAGCCAAGCACGCAGGCAATGCCATGGGAAGCCTTGCATTTGCCACCCTGTGGGTGAGACTGGTGTGCCAGGCCGCATAGGGAGCCAGGAAGAGAGGGGGCCCACACCCCCGCGGCGCCAGGAAATGCCACCTTAGTTGCTAAGGAACTACTTTTCCCTGTAAAGTACATCCAGTGCAGGGCACAGCGGCTCTGGGGATTCCATGGCAAGGACACACAAGTGATCCGGGAGCAATGTCACTGTGCCAGCAGGAACGCCGGGCGTGCGTGGACTCTCCTCACCCCAGGCAGGGTGCAAGGCGGGGGACATGGGAGTCCACGGGCAGGGACCGCCTGGCTCCTAGGAAGATGCCAGTGCAGTGTTGTGTTTGCGGGTGTGAGGAGCGTGTGAGGCTGGGGGGGCTGCAGCTCCCAGTGTGCAAGAGGTGTGCAGTATGCGTCTCAGGGGGTGTGTGTGTGTGTGTGTCAGGGAGGGGTGGTGAGTGGGCATGCATGGGCATGCGTGTGGTTGACGGTTGGCAGGTCTCACCGTGCCCTAGGAGGTTGTTCCCCTTCTCCTCTAGCTCCACACCCCAGGGGGACAGTCAGGCCCAAACCACAGCCTCCTTCACTGCTTCCCCCCACCCGACATAGGCCTCCTGGCGTGTCCCTGCCGCAGCAGGCTAAGGCCCAGCCCGAGCTGATGCAGAGTCCTCCCCCCCACTTGTGGCAGCCCCCTCCCTTCCCACGGAGACACCACATGCCCCCTGCCCTGTCACCGAGGCAAATGTCATTGTTGACCTTAGCAGCCCACCCAGGATGCAGACGCTGCCAGCTCCCCTGTGCCCCCAGCCCAGCATAACTCCCCTCAGCTGGGGCAGGCTCAGGGACCCCACACCCTGTTGGCTCCCAGCTGTGGGCTGGGTGGGAGCCAGCGAGGCTAGGGGAATGGCCCCAGTGCTGGTCTCGCCCTCCCTGCAAGGGCCCACTGGCTCAGCCTTTGCAGAAGCACCATGCTGCAGGTGGGCGCAGCTGGGGCCCCGCTCCACCCCGCTTCTCTGCATCGGGGCTGGGCCCGGCTCCACCCCGGCTCCCTACATCAGCGGCAGGGGAGACGTCCCCAGCCCGCCCCGCTCCCTCGCGCACACGATCTGCCCCCTCCCCGGCCAGCCCAGCGCAGGGGCGGCCCCAGCCCCACCCGGCTCCCCAGCGAGCCGAGCCCGGGCCAGGGGGTGGGAGGCGAATCGATCCCCGGCGCTGCCCGGCGGCTCCGTCCATTGTGCGCTGCCCGCCCCACCCGCGGGGCCTGGCTCCGGGCAGGGGAAGGGGCAGCGAGCCGCGGGGGCAGCGTAGGGCGCTAGGGACAAAGGCCCCGGGACTCACCGCGTCCGAGTTCCGCTCGTTGCCAGACGCCAGGGCGGTGCGCGAAGACATCTTCCCCGGGGGCTGGCCGGGGGGGACCCGCGCGGCTCCGCGGCTAGAAGGGGGCGCTCATGGCCCAGGACGGGGGATGGGCTGCAGCAGCAGCGGGCGCCGGTGGGTCCCACCCCGGGGAGCCCGGCTCCGTGCGCCCCTCGCCGGCGCACAAAGGGCAGGGGCGGCCGCACCCCCCGCGGCTCCGGGGCGCCGCCCGCGGGGAGGATGCTGGAGACGGGGGGGTGGAGGAGGGGGGGGGGCTGGTGCAATAGGACCCGAGCCCCTAGCGCCAGCCGCGGGCTCCGGCCATCCCGCTCCTGCTCCGGGCCCGCCGGGCGCTCACCAGCCGCGGGCTCACGCCAGGCTGCGGCTGCCGGGAACGGCCCTGGCCGGGCAGCGCGGCACCATCGGGGCGGGCGAGCGAGCGGGGTCCCCGCCTGGCCGGGGCGGCTGCAAAACAGCGAGAGAAAGGGAAGGAACCGACGTCAGGGAGCGAGCGGGGCTGGGCTGGGGCTACCCCTCCCCCCGCCTCTTAAAGGCGCAGGCGGCGCGCCCCGCAGGGTTGATGGGGGGCTGGAGCCCCCCCCCGCCTTCCTCTCCCTGCGCCCACGGGGCTCCATGTCCCCGGCCTTTGCCACTGGGGCCCCCGGGCGCAGGGCAGCGCGGCACCCGGAGTGCGGTGCAGTACAAAGCACTGGAATGCTTACGGGGGGCAGAGTGGGGTGTGGGTCCACAGTGTGGCTATAGAGATGGGGGGGTGGGTGGGGGTGGGTGGATGGATGGGGGGTATAGGGATGTGGAGGGATGCGTGAGGGTGTATAGGGGTGGGGCATGCATGGGGTGGATGGATGGATGGGGATGTATAGGGATGGGGTGTGGATGGGATGGGTGGATTGATGGACGGGGGTGTATGGGGTGGATGGGCTGGAGGGATGGGAGGTATAGGGATGAGGGTGTGGATGGGGGTGGTGGATGGATGGATGTGGGGTGTAGAGGGATGGGGTGGGGGTGTGTTGGGGTGGGGTGTATGGGGTGGGGCACGGATGGGGTGGAGAGTGGAGGGGGTGTATGGGGTGTATGGTGATGGATGGGGTGGGTAGATGGGGCTGTATAGTAGTGGGGGTGTGGATGGATGGGGGTAGAGGGAAGGATGAGGGAGTGTATAGGGGTGTGTGGATGGATGGGGTAGAGGGGTGTATAAGGTGGGGGGATGGATGGGGTGGGTGAATGGATCAGGTGGAGGGGTGGATGGAGGGGGTGGATGGGGTGGATAGCGGTGGGGTGCATGGGGGATGGATGGAGAGAGGGAGGGAGCAATGGGGTGGATAGGGGTTGTATAGAGGTGGGGATGGATGGGGGGTGTATAGAGATGAGGGTGGATAGAGGATAGAGGGATGTGTATGGAGATGCATGGGAGTGTATAGGGGTGGATGGGGAATTGGGAATGGATGGGGGGTGTATAGAGGTGGGAGTGGACGGAGGATGGATGGATGGATGGATGGATGAATAGAAGGGTGTGTACAGGGATGGATAGAAGGGTGTGTAGAGGGATGGATGGGAGTGTATAGGGGTGGGGATGAATGGATGCATGGAAGGGTGTGTACAGGGATGGATGGATGGATGGGAGTGTATAGGGGTGGATGGGGAATTGGGGGTGGATGGGGGGTGTATAGATGAGCACGGAGTATATCCCGGGCTCTAACCAGAATGGTTAGAGACAGGACACATGGCAGTACATAGATAGCAGTAGCTGGATGGGGTGGTGTGTCTGGTGACAGACAGATGCTGATAGACAGACAGACAGATGTGCATCATAACAGCACACACCCCAAGTGCAGCCAGCTGCAACCACCAGGCAGTCCTCCCCGTGATGGCCTCCCCAGGGCGCAGCTCCGACTGCAGGGACTTGGCAGCAGAGGGCAGTGCCACGACATGCCAATCTGCTGAGGGGGGGGAGTTCAGCATCTTTCCAGAGCAGCCTCCTCAGACCCAGCCACTCCCTCCTTCTCCGCCTTCTCTGATACTGCCAGGGACAGCGTCAGCACTGTGCCCCCACAGGCACGGAAACCAGGGTGTGCCGGGGTACATTGCCCCCCCAGGGTGGCTGGGTCAGAGAGTCACGGCATCCATGCCAGGCTGGAGGCTCTTCTCCCCCTGGGGCAGGCACAGGAGACAGACCAATTGGGTCCCCAAGAGGGGGCGGCTTGCAGCAGGCGAGCGGGTGAGACTGTTTACCTTTCCTGGAGGAAGAAGGGGCGCGGTCTGGGTGGAGGCTCCTCTGGAGGGAGAAGCCCTGCTGAGCTAACGGGGGTGTGGGTGGAAACAGCCTTTGGCTCCTGGTGCAGGACGGGACTGTGTCATTAACATGGTACAAATTAAACGGATTAAAACCGGGCTAATGGAGAGGTCTCAATGTGCCTCTGGAACCAGGGACTCGTCACCGAGTGGATCTGTTTCCAGCAGGGTCCCGCAGCAGGAATTGGTTCTTGGCCCTGTGCTGTTTAATGTTTTTCTCAATGACCTGGAAGAAAACATCAAATCACCACTGCTAACATTTGCAGATGGCCCAGAATGTGTGGGAGAGGTGAATAATGATGGGGACAGACAAGTCACTGGCACAGAGCAGTCTGGGTCACTTGGAAAACTGGGCGCAAGCAAACAACATGTGTTTTAATAACGTCATTATTGTCTAGCGAGTCCATCGTTACAACCCTGTGAGGATTTTCTGTTTTACAGGGTCTGCACCCCAGTGTGTCTCACCTTTTTGTAACCCTTTAAAATATATATCTAGGAACAAACAATGCAGGCTATACTTCCAGGATGGGGCACTCTATCCTGGGGGTGCTTCGATGCTGAAAAAAGCTTGGGGCCCATGGTGGATAATCAACTGAACATGAACTCCCCCTGTAATGCTGTGGCCAAAGGGGCTAAAGCGATCCTGGGCTGCACAAACAGGGTGTGTCAAGTCGGAGCAGAGAGGTTATTTTACCTCTGTATTTGGCACTGGTGCAACCACTGCTGGGATCCTGGATCCAGCTCTGGTGCCCCCTATTCAAGAAGGATGTTGATACATTGGAGAGGGGTCAGGGAAGAGCCAGAAGAATGACTGAACAATCAGAAAACCTGCCTTATAGTGACAGACTGAAGGAACTCAATTTATCTTCTTAACAAAGAGCAGGTTTTGGGGAGATTTGATCACAGCCTATAGGGGGAACAAATGTTTGATAATGGGCTCTTCAGTCTAGCAGACAACAGCCTAACTTGATCCGGTGGCTGGAAATTGAAGCCAGACGAATTCAGGTTGGAAATAAGGTCTATGTTTTCATCAGGGAGGGGAATTAACCAAGGGTCACAGTGGATTCTCTTTCCCTGACAAGTTTTAAATTGAGAGGGGTTATTCTCTAGTTCAAACAGGGATTCCTTCAGGGCAGGCCAATGGCCTGTGTCACGCAGGAGGGCGAATGATCAGATCATGGTGATCGCTTCTGACCTTAGACTCTGGATCTGTCCTTGTTTGCCTGCTAGAGGCTGCAGCTTCCCCTCAAAGGGAGAAGATGCTGGAGCTGGGGCTGTGCCATGGGCCTGGCAGCTGGACTGCATTCTGGGGCATGCCCTGGGGATTGTGGGGAAAAGAAAGTGATCTCAAGAGCGGGCTGCCAGCTGCTGCCATGTATGAGGGCTTGGAGCAAGCCCTGTGTGTAACTAGGGCTGGCCTGGCTTGCCCTCCCTCCTGGTGGCATGTTTGGGGGGCCAGGGCCTGAGTTCCAGTCCAGCTGGGAAACGAACTGGAGAAGGTGGGGGAGCACTCTCCTTATCTCCCTTCCCGGCAGGATGGAGCCCCACTGACCACACAGCGTGGGAGTGCAGTTTGCTGGATGGGACCAGGCCCGTTGGCCCGTCCTTAGTTCCCTGCGCTGGTTCAGGGGCAGTGACGTCCACACAGCTGGCAGCATGATGCTGCGCTCCAGCCAGACGATTCTTCCTGATGCCTGAGCTCCAGCCTCCCTGCTCAACCGGCCGTGGCCAGCTTGGCTATCAGAGTCTGTTGCCAGCTTCCTCGGTGCCATGGGCACAGGGTGAATGGGGAGGGCTCTGCTCCATGAGGTCTGGTTGCTGGCTAGCCTCCACCGTGGTGCTGCCCTACATGTCCGTGTCCCATGCTGCGTGTCCCCCCTCCCTGCCCCATGACCTTGAGGATTCCAAGGAGGTAAGGGTGTGGTATAAATGCAGGGGGTGAGGGGCGCAGTGACAGGCGGCGGGGTATACAGGGAAACCAACTGAGAGAGGGAAGACGGGGGGGCCTTTTGGGGTCTGCTTTGCTCAGGCTGGGACCCTGAGGGTTGTCTCAGGGAGAGCAGTTTATATTGTTCTTTGCTCTTGGCTGAGCAAAACGGAGTGGGGGCTTGTGCCTCTGTTGCGGGGGACAAGGCCATGCCTGCGTTGGGGGGGGGTGCCTATGCAGGGCTGCTGGTGGGAGGTGGTTGACTGCAGGGCTCCAGCCTGGGGGGAAGGGGCCACGCCTGTGTGGGGAAGGTGGCGGGGGAGCGGCAGAGAACTGCTTGGCTGTGACGGGAGATCAGGCTGGAGAGTCACCTCTCTCTCAGGAAACGGGGGACCCAGGCCGGAGTGAGCTGGGTGGCTGGGTCCTGCTCTTTGGAACACTCCAAGGGCTGCGGTCCTCTCTCCCCCCAGCAGGGAGCAGGGTGGTATCAGACCCCGGGGGCAGGCGATGGGGCCTGCACTCCCCAGGCTGCACCCACCTGTGGTGGGGCTGCTCAGAGCGGGTCAGTGAGACCCTGCCCCATGTGGGGGGGCAGGGCATGGACGAAGCCTGGGGCTGGAGCTCCCTCCAGGGGTAGGGAGCAGGGGGCCTGGCCTGAGGGACACAGATGAGGAGCTGGGGTGGGGGGCAGTGGGCTGGGGGCACAGAAGCATGCTGGGTGTGCGGGCTGCCGCCAGGGGTGAGGGACAGGGGCGGAGCTGGGAGCTAGGGTCGGGGCTCCTGTCCTGGTGGGCGGGGCTTGGGACGGGGCTCCCGCTGGGGGCGGGGCTCCCTGCAAGGGTGTGGGGCGGAGCTGGCGGCGGCAGTCCAGCGCGGCGGCGATTGGCTGTGGCGAAGCATAGAGACAAGGCCGGTCCATCAGCTCCGGGGCGGGGCTGTTCGCTCGCCATTGGCTGGCGCAGCGGCCAATCGCCAGCGCCGAGCCCGTGGACCCGCAGGGCGTTAACCCTTCGCTGCCCGGGGGCCAGGGAGCAGCTCCTCTCCCGGCCGGCGAGGGGCCGCTCGGGGATGGGGCAGCGGGGGCTGAGAGCCCGGGGCCTTCTCGGGCTGCACCCGGCTGGCCGCGGGAGAACGGGGTCCTCTGCAGGCGTGTGGAGAGTCCTGCAGGCCGCGCCCTGCACACGCGTGCCCACACCCGCGTGTGACTGGCCGTGCGGCACG